AGATCGAGGGAGAGAGGGGAGTGTGTGTGTGTGTGTGTGTGTGTGTGCGCGCCTGCTGGGAGGGAACCATGGGGGCGTGTACAAATGTGTGTGCAAGAGTGTAGGAGAGAACATGGGAGGGAAGGCTTGCCCCAGGAAGGGTGTGTGTACAAATGTATGTGTAAGAGCGCTAAAAGAGAATATAGGGGGAACGTTTGTCCCAGGCGGAGGGGGGAAGGGCGGTGCAGTACCTGGAGAGGGAAGGCTTGTTCTAGCTGTGTGTATGGAGAGTAAATAGAACTTGTCCCGAGTGTGTGCGCGTGTATGTGTGCGCGCGCGTGCTACGGAGCATGGTGGGAGGGGGGTGTAAAAATGTGTGTGCAAGAGCCTATAGGAGGAAACGCTTGTCCCAGGCAGGTGGGAGGGGAGGAAGGGCGGTGCAGTACCTGGAGAGGGAAGGGGGGAGGGAAGTTTTGTCCCGGGTAGCGACGTGTTCCTGTATACGTTGGGAGGGGGAAGGACCTGGGGAGGGAAGGCTGAGCCCGTCAGGTCAGTCAGCCTGCTCGCCCTCTCCTCACCGAAAACTCAATCTCGGCCCTAACCCAGGACCCCCTTTTTGCATTGCGCAGGCGCAGGCGCGCGGAGATGGGAGGGTCCGGGTGCGCCCCTCTGCGCTGGAGCTCGTTAGTTCGCCGCCTCGGGCCGCAGCAGCCCCAGGCCGGCACCCTCCTCCAAGCTCCCCCTGGTGGCAGCGATCGGAACTATTTGGCGTTTCTGCCCCACCCCCTCCCCGGCACTAAGCCTCCCGGCACCCCCAGCTGTGGAAGGGGGAAAATTCAAACCAGAGAAAGGAGGAGGGGCTGGGGACGGGGGTAAGTTGGGAAATCACAAGCAGCTCAGAGACTTTGAGTAAACATGTTTTATATGGAACAAGATAAAATAGCGTGCGTTTATCTTTTAATTTAAAACCCAAAGAGCTTCAATAAAAATAGAGATCACTTGCAGCTGATGCCTCATCAATTCCTGGGCATTTTGCTTCAGGACATTGTCAGACCGGAGCCCTAACCCGTGCCGGGCCCCCTCACCTTCATGGCAGAAGCTGCCGCTTTCCCCTTGCCCTCACCCCTCCCAGATCCCTGGGGAAGTCTGGCGATGGTGGCATTTTCTTCACGGGCACCCCATTGCTCACAGGCCTCCTGGCTGGGCAGTGATGCTGGAGGGGAGGGTAACGAGGAAGCTGGTTTCAGGCTGCTATACTGGTTCTCCTGACAGAAGAGTTGGGGGGGGGGTGTCCAAAATCCCAAGTGGGTTCTGATGGATCCACACCATGGGACACTTACTCCTTACAGGTCCAGGGGCACTCGATAACCACCGGAACATAACCGGAGAGGCTGCAATATTCCCTAGCTCGCTCAATGGGGGCTCTTTGGTTGGCATGGTGTCAGGATTCTGGGAGGCTCCTCCTTTCTCGACACCATGATACACATTCCTACCTACAGCAGGCAAGAAGCAGGCACTGCTGGCTTGATTGAAGGCACTTGTCACAGATTTTACACCCATCCCAACCCGAAATCTGAACCCCTAAGACCTCAGGGGCTGCTGATTCCAGCCCTCCTCAAGCAACCAGCTCATGTTTCCTCCCCACCGGGTGGTGGTGCACAGGACACATGGGGCTGCCTGCAGGGCACGGGCGGGAGGGCCAAAGGGCAGCAAGGAGGGAGTGAAAAGCGAGATGGGGCAGGGGCACCAAACAGCAGAGAGAAAGAGGCGGGCACGCTGCACTGAGGTCCATCCATGCCACACGTGTCTGGAGGTCTCTGTGAAGGCCACGGCAGTGGTGTGTTTTGAGGGTAGGAACAGGAGATGGAGAATGGGCAGGCCCTCTCCCAACTCTCCATGGCCCCACTGGGCTACTGATACAGCAGAGACCCTCTTAGAAAGAAGGGCCCCGGGGAAGGCAAGAGGGATGGGGAGAGAGCAGGGGAGTCGGCCTTCATCTCCTGGCTGGGGGCAGGCGGAAGCAGCTCAGCTCTCTGGTGTGGTGACAGTGGCAGCGCCATCCAGACTCCCTCGTCTCTGCCCCAGGCCCCCTCACTCCTCGGCGCTTCGGGTGGCCTTCGCAGCTCTCCGCTGCCTCCAGCGGAGTTCCTCCACCTGCCTCTCCAGGCCCCGAACTTTGGCCTCCAGTTGGGCTCCCGAGGCCCGGCTGCCGCTCAGCCGGCTTAGCAGGGCATAGAGGGTCAGCAGCCCCAGCAGCATCAGGGCCCTGACGGAAGGGTCTGCCACAGACCTGACCACGGCCACAAACCCCACAAGGAAGATGACCAGCTTCAGGCCCCACAGGATCCGGCCCAGCAGAGCCAACAGCAAGCCCAGGAGCAGGGCCAGCACCCAGTAGGCAATGAGGGACCCCACTCCCCACAGGAGGAAGGTCTGTACTTGGCCAGGGCTGAGCTTCAAGCCTTGGGTAAGGTGGTCACCTAGGAGAGGAAGGCAGTTAGAGCATTAGCAGAACCCACAGAGAGAGAGTGCCAGCAACACTCTCCCTGGCATGGAGGGGGAATAGTTTCTGTCCCCCTCCCCCGAAGGAAGAGAAGAACCCCGTTTAGGCAGAGGAGAAGCTACCGTCCCTCAAGTAGTACACCTATTATTCCAGCCTCCCTAGGCCTGGAACCCGCCCCCAGGACAGCCAGATGCAGGAGAAGTATCCAAGTGCCTGGAAGCAGAGCTCTGGAACACTCCCATGCCAACCCGCCTCACCCCCTCCACAATGGCAGGCACTAAGCCCCTGCCGTCTGGCCTGGCCTACCCAGCCAGTCCTTCCCCTCCTTACCATTCAGCCCCATGGCATTCAGGAGCTGTGCCAAGATCCCAGACAGAGCGAAGAAAGCCACAGAGATGGCAGAGGAGATGGCCCACAGAGCTTGAGATGTGGTCTAGGAGAGGGGAGAGCAGCAGGGTGAATCTGGGGATCGGCTGTGCCTCCCCCCCCCCCCCCCCGCCCCGAGGCAGGACCAAGGAAAAGCTCGGGGGCTTTGGGATCCAGCGGCGGCAACAGTTCTAGCTACACTGAGATGGAGGGGCCTCCAGACTCAGAGGGCAACTCTCCCAGGATCCAGCTCTATCTACCGAAGGATTCTTAAGCAGCAGGGAGGGGTCCCAAGGGCTCCGTGGAGGAAAGGTCAGAGGTCCGTGAACTTGGCCAGGGCAATACTGACATCTTTATTTTCACAGACCTCTAACTGAAATGTAGTATTTCCCCATTCAGTGATCAATGCGGGCCACAAACCACAGCAGCATCAGGCTTCACTGGGCTGACTGCCCAAGGCCAGGACCCAAGGGAGGTAGGTGAAGGACCCCTGCCCTAATGTGGGATGACGATGCCACGTGTCCCTCTAGTCTGCCACAAAGGGGGCCCTGGGATTCCAGACCAGTTGCTGTTCGGCTGACAGGCGACGGCAGTAGGAACAGGGGCCTTATTTTATATCTCTCAGCACTCTAACTGAGGTCATCACCGGCCTGCCTTCTCCCCATTAGAGGGACTCTGGAGGCTTAGGAGGTCATGCCAGTTATGACTTTCTGAGTTTGAAATAGCAAAGCACTCAACGAGCAGGTCTTCTGTTAATATTTACACCATTAACCGATGACATCAGCCCAGTGCAACTATCCAAGGCATGGGCCCAAATCACTCTTCTCCAGCAAGAAGGTGAAGTATTTGGGTCACAGTCAGACAAGCATCAGACTTGACAGGTAAGTAGACTAGTCCAATGGACTGGCTGTCTCCTGCCTTTTGCCCTTAGAGAAGGGAAGGAGCCAGGGATGATGAGGGTGGAGCTGCACCCGGGCCTGCTGAGCCCCCTTCACGGCATGTGTTTAGCTTATTCTTAGGGGACCCTGGTACCAGCAGAATCTGAACCCAGAAGTGATGGCTGTAGCCTTAAGTGGACCTGCCATCCAGCTGCCCCTCTTTGCCCACCCAGCCAGGAAAGCTCATCCTTACCTCAGTCACGACATGCATGATCTCGGGCCCGATCCAGGCGTCCATGGTCTCCCGAAGAGCTGACCCTGTTTGGGACAGGAAATCCGCTGGGGGGTCCCTCTTCTGCTGTTTTCTGGAATGGAAGTCTTGCTGGCAACTTGCCACACGCAGCACAAGAAGGAGGGCCACGAAGGCCACCGAGAGTGCTTTGGGCATAATTCGACCCATCGTGAATCTACTGCCCAACCCCAGCAGGGTTCTACCTGCCAGGAAGAAGAGAAAGACACGGTTATAGATTTGGTCTCCAGAGCCCTGGAGAAGTCTTCTTCTCTTCCTGTCTGATGTTTAGCCAGGTGGGCTTACAGATCAAACCCTGATTCTGGAAAAAGACCAGACGCCTGCTGGAAAGGATTCTCAACGGAGAGCGTGGGGCCTTGCACTGGAGACATATACATGTGCCAGCTAGCTCACAGCTCCTGTTTCATGCCTTTCTCTACCCACTGTTGACAACCAACAGTACTCAGGCAGTGCACAGTGCTAAATTCTGCAGGGGAAAATACAAGATCAGTAAGATGTGGTACCTGCCCTCAGGGAGCTCTGAATGGGGGGGAGGGGTAAGGAAAAAGATGACACCTACACAATGTCTATAACACAAAATGCTACCTGAAGCTAGTGCCGCTCAGGGGCCAAGGGTGAGGGGGGCTTCAAGGAAATAGGACATGAGAATCAGGCCTTAAAGGATAATAGAGACAAGGCGTGAGGCACTCCAGGAATGAAGAACAGAGTGCCACCAGCACGGAGGCAGAGGCACCAAGTCCTCGGCTGGCCCTGTGCTGACCCGGGGACAGCATGAGATGAGGACAGAGGTGGAGCGGTGCGAGCTGGGAGAGGACCTTGTCGCTACTCTCCAGTGATTTCAGGCAGGTCTGATCGACTCTTCTTGGCAGAGATGCTGGAGTGATTTGCCATTTCCTTCTCCAGCTCATTTTACAGATGAGGAAACTGAGGCAAGCAGGGTTAAGTGACTTGCCCAGGGTCACAGAGCTAGGTAGTGTCTGAGGCCACATTTGAACTCAGGAAGAGTCTTCCTGACTCAGGGCCTAGCACTCTGCCCACTGCTCCACCCACCTGCCCTAGAGGGCCTTGAGCACCAAGCTAAGGAGCTCAAACTTGACTTGATGAGCTACAGAAGGCTATTGCAAGGTTCTGAGCAGAGATCAGCCAAGTCGAGTTGGGCTGGCGATGACAAGAGATGGTTCAGAGCAGAGAAAAGGACAGGAGCAGAAGCCATGACAGAGGGTAACCAACCAGGAGCATTTCTTAACAAGGGTCCTACCAAACCGGCAACAGCGACACGTTGGCGTTCCAGACTAGCGCACACAGCCAGGGAACAATCAGGGAACAAAATCTGGGGCAGAAAGAGTACAAAGAACAGCATAAAGAGCAGATGTGGCCCCGGGTCCAAAGCCTGGCTGTCACTCATACCTGCTCAGCCTCCAGCGCGTCGCTTAGCCTCCTGGGGGGGGACCCAATGGCCTCAAAGCCTTCTCCAGCACAACCTCCTCAGCCCAACGAGTCAGAAATTGCCTCCCAAGAACACAGTGGGCCAGGTACGACAGTTATTACTATTCTCATTTTACAGATGAGGAAACTGAGGCTCAGAGAAATGACTTGGCCAGAGACACACAACAATTGGCAGAAGGCAAGATTTGAACCCAGGGCTTCCTGCCTTCAGCTCCAGCACTCTCCTCTCAGCGTACCGCACTACTTCTGTGTCTAAAACTTGGTCCGTGTGCCTCAAAGGTTAAGCGGGGCAGCAGATACAATAAGCATGAGGAGTCAGAGGCTGTGAGGGAGGACAGGAATTCTCCAGCGCTGTCTGACACCCCCAGAGGCTAAGGAAAGGAAAGGAAAGGCCAGAAAGCAGAATATGGTGAGCCCTCCAGTACCCAGAGTATTCAAGAGCAGAAACTGGAAGCTAGGGGTAAGTCACTGAAAGACTTTGGGCCTTGACTCCCGCCCCAAGCACAGTGTGGGGGCAAAGAAGCACAAAGGAAGGTAATCTATGGGGTGAGGGGGAGTCCATGCAAAGGCTCGGAGGTTAGCACTAGGTCTGCAGCAGCTCTCCCGGGATGCCCAACAGGAACCAGGCAGCCCTCTTCTTCCAGGGGCATGAGGGAGGGAGCCGCAAAGGGAACCTGTACGCTCCAGGGCGTTTCCATGATTCACCTGATACTGAGACAGGGAGGGACAGCCAAGTTTGCTCGGTTGCCATGGAACTCAAACACTTAGCTGGAAATCTCAGCCCAGGAGTGCAGAGGGGAGGGGGAGAAAGTGTTTCCCATCTTTCCTGGCTTTGAAGGAAGAGAATCCAGGATGGCCCAGGAACTGCTCCTGCCTCTCCTGCTTGAGGGAGTGATCTCAGGCCTGGGAACAGCTGCTCAAAAAGCAGCCCACGAAAGGGGAAGTTGTACCGAGAAAGCCTCCGATTCCGCTTTGTGCCAGGGACAGATGGCCACTGGCTGCCAACACACAGAAGAGGAGGCAAGCATCTGGGGCATAACCAAGTCAGGAACGTGCAGAGGAGGACTGGGAGCTTGAACCAAGATCCAGTATCATAACCCCCTCCAAGAACGATGGAACAGATATCACCTCCTCCACTCCGGAAGGTCGGCGTGGGTGGTCACCTCTGCTCAGCTGGCTGGATCGGCAGCTGTGGGCAGGGAAAGGAGATGTCTGCTAAGAGCGTCTCCTCTGACATGCCAGCTGATCCCCATTCGGGCCCCTGTAGCGGCCCCAAAAAACAACCCCTTCCACGGCGTCCTCAAGCTGTCTGGCCGTCCCAGGGACACCTGGAGGCAGGAAACATCTGGCAGGAGCTGCTGGCTGCTGTGCCCCACCACCCAAAGAGGTCGTCAAACCTCCTCAAGGACAAGAGTCACAGCTTACAGTGCCTCCGGATACCCTGAAGCACCCAGCCCTGGGCACAGAAAGAACTCAGTGGGTCTAGATGAACTGTCCGGCACAGAAAACCGTAAAACTGGGAGGGACCATAGAGCTCCTTGGGTGTCTCTTATTTAGGAGAGGAGATCTGAGCCAGCAGAATGTCGGAGTGGAGGAAGGGTCAGGCAGACCTGGGCTCCAGACCCTCCTCCATCACATGGTACATGTGGGGTCCTGAGGCCCATTTAACCTCTCACCGAGGCGGGTAGCTGAACTGCTATTAGTTCTTTCATCCATTAGCTCCTGACGCCAAGGAAATCACGGGACCAGTGTCCATCCTTTCCATTTTACAGAAGAGAAAACTAAGGCTCAGGGAGACAAAAAGGCTTGTCAGGATCAGGCAGGTTTTTTTCTTTTCTACTGTGTGTGACAAGGGGGTGGAAGGGATGACAGGAATGGCGTGTTGGGGAATGAGCCAACATCCCAGCAAAGGGCAAACGGTTTTTAAAAAGGTTCCGTAGCAGCAGAGCTGGGACCTGCATTTGGGCCTCTACAATCCCAGCCCTGCAGAAGCTGGAGGCTTTAACCAGGCAACAAGTTCAAACAAAGACCCACAAAACAATAGACCGCCAACCAAGATATGACCCGGCTGTGAAAGCCAAGTCTCCTAAGGCCTGGAGTTCCTGGTTTTGTGTCAGGGGAGCCCCGTGAGGAGGCAACTCCTCTCTTTTCCAAGGTGGTTCCATGGGGTCAGAAGGCGAGTGCCTCATTTGCTCCTCAGCGGAGGGAAGGTTCTAAATTCTTCTGCAGAGGCATGCAGGGCGGACAGGGTGGGGCAGCCCAGCTCATCCAGATGCCCCCAGTTCCTTCCTTCCACCTCGGGCTTCTCTGAATTCTGAGTCACCCACTCACTAGACGGCGGTTAAGGTCCTCTACTTGCTGCCCTCTGCTGGCTCAGGGCCGCCTGCTTCCCTTCAGGAGATGCTCGAGGGCAGCTGGACCAGTGAGGGGCAGGGGCTGTTTCTTGTCTCAGCATCCCCAGTGCCCGACACCTACTGGGTACTTAATAAAGCTGGCTGAACTGAATTGAATGCAAACGCTACTTAAATGAGGTAAAAAGCCATTACCTGGGGCAGCGAAGGGGTAAAGTGCATAGAGCACCCGGCCTGGAGTCGGGAAGTCTCAACCTCCAAGTTCAAATCCAGCCTCTGACACTCACTAGCTGTGGGACCCTGGCCAAGTCACTTACGTATGCCCTGTTTGCCTCAGTCACCTCATCTGTAAAATGAGCTGGAGAGGGAAATGGTAGCTCTCTCCAGTATCTTTGCCAAGAAAACCCCAAAAGGGACCACGAATAGTGGGACACGACAGAAAAACTACTAAACAACGAAAACAACAAGCCAGCAGGTCAAAGACGACTGGGGTCTTAACAGCTCCTTGGCAGCGTGGTGCAATGGCCCGGATGGATGGGTCTGGAGTCAGAGGACAAGAGTTCTGATCCCAGCCCTCCCCACCCCCACTCATCACCTGTAGGAATCAGGGCCTGTCACTTATCCTCGCGGCTGCAATGACCCTCACGAAACCGTGGGGCACGAACTAAAAGAGTTTTGCAGCCCCGGGGCTCCAGTCCAATGAACCAGTACTACCCCTCCTCCGACACCGCAGCAAACCACTTGCCCAAAGTCACAAGCTCTGGGGAGGGGGGAGGGGCGCAGAGCGGGTCGGGGGCGTGGCTACTGCTACCTGGGAGCAGGTGCCTCCGCAGGCTCCCAGTGTGCACAGCACGGGCTGCGAGCCCTTTCTCACCTTTGCCCTCTCCTCCCCACCCCACCCCCCAGCTCCTGGCCGCCCGGGCCGGTCAGCTCACCCCCTGACAGCTGCTGTCTGGCAGCTGTCGCGGGGGAAGGCCCCGGCAGCCTCCCCAGGGCCCCGGGCAGCGACCAGAGCTATATTCGCCCTCGGGGCTCGCTGCCAAAGCCTGCTGGGCGGCGCCTCCGGCGGGGCAGGGAGCGCAGGCTGGGCCCGGCGGCCGTGAGGACCCCCGTGGCGGCGCCTCTCGAGGGCGCGGGGCTCCGGGGCACGCCGGGCCGGGGTGGCCCCCCCCCCGCCCCGCCCTCGCTCAGCTCCCTCCCTCCGCAGGAGGAGCGCTCCGCGGGGCGCCGGGGTTGCCTGGAAACGCCGCCCCCGGTTGCCTAGCAACCGGTCCCCCTCTCTCGCCCTTCCCGGTCCCCCGACCCGCCCCGGCTTCGCTTCAACAGACCCCGCGGCGCCCCGCTCCGCACACGCGAGCCCGCACGGCCACGGCGGCCGGGCGTCCCGCCTCCCCAGCCCGAGATGGCCCTCCCCGCCCCAGTTCGGACTCACTGACGCCCGCGATGTCGGCCCTTCACGTGGGGATCCGCTATAAGCGCGCCGTGGCCGGCCTCGGCGCCTCAACTTGGAAGCCTCAATTACGATCTGCGCCTGCGCGGTGCGGGAGGCGAGGGAAAGCCGCCCGCCCCAGAGCGGAGCAGCCTGCGCGTGCGCTCGGAAAGGTCTCCACACGTCAATAGCTCTCCTAATGACCACATCCCCAGCCCCGGAGCGCCGCAACTTGGCGCATGCGTCGTGGCCGGTTCCAAAAAAAAAAAAATTCAGGAGCGCTCAGAGTCCCTCCCTCTCCCAGGCTGGGGAGGCTGGCGCATGCGCTCTGCGCGGTCAATTCCCAGCCCAGGAGCCGCTTCTTCACCTCCTTGCCTTCCCTGCACTTCCATTCAAAGGGACAGTCAGTTCTGCTAGAAGGCGCGAATCTGTTCCAACCTGATGGCCACGTCAGGCTAGCCCAGCGCCGAGCATTTGGCGTCTGCCCGCGGGCGAGTTTGCTCCCGACGAACGGCGAAAGCGTCCTCGAGCCCGTGCCCCAGCCTCCTCGGAGTACGCAGGCGCAGGCCGCCCGCAGCCGTCGGGGGCTCTCCTTGGAGGTCGGGCTCGGCGGCGACCGTCTCCCCGCAGAAGGCCCGCCCTCGCGCCCGGCCCGGCCATGTCCAAGCGGCCCGGCTCCAAGCTGCCCGGCGGCGGCAAGAGGAAAGCTCTGAGCATCAAGGAGAAGCTGGACATCATCAAGCGCTTTGAAGGCAACGAGAGGACGTGCGACGTCTCCCGCGCCACGGGCCTCGAGGAGTCCATGCGGCGCACCATCCGCGACGACGCGGTGAAGACCAAGGAGACGTCCCGCACGGGCAGCGGCACGAGCGCGGCCAAGTCCGTCCGCGCGCGGCCCAGGGAGATCGAGGAGATGGAGCGGCTGCTGAGCCTGTGGATGGAGGGCAAGAGGTCGGGCACCACCTTCCTGACGGCCAAGGGCAAGGCGCTGTCCATCTACGCCGACCTGAAGCGCAGGTCGCCCAGCCCCGGCCACGTGGCGCCCTTCCGGGCCAGCTGCGGCTGGTTCAGCGGCTTCAAGCACAGCTACAACTTCCAGAGCCTGCAGCTGCTGGGCGAGGCGGCCAGCGCGCAGCTCAAGGCGGCCAAGGAGCTGCCGGCGCTCGTCCAGAAGCTGGTCAAGGACGAGGGCTACACGCTCGACCAGATCTTCAACTTCGACGAGACGGGCCTCTACTACAAGCGCATGCCTCGGCGGGCCTACATCTCCAAGGCGGAGAAGCAGGGCCCCGGGCTGAAGGCGGCCAAGGACCGGGTCACCGTGATGGTCGGGGCCAACGCCAGCGGAGACCTGAAGCTGAAGCCCGTCGTGGTGTATCGCTCTGCCAACCCGCAGGCCCTGCGAGGCATCGTGAAAGCCAGCCTCGGCGTTCATTACCGCTACAGCAAGAAAGGATGGATGACCGCCCAGATCTGCATCGACATTTTTGCCGAATTCTTCCCCGTTTTGGAGGATTATTGCAGGAAAAAGAACTTGGCTTTTAAGATTCTCATAATTATTGACAATGCGCCAAGCCATCCCCTGACCATAGCTGAACTCAACCCGAACGTCAGATTCATCTTTTTGCCTCCAGAAACCACCTCCCTGATTCAGCCCCTTGGGCAAGGGGTGATCGCCCTGTTTAAGGCTTACTACCTGAGGCGAACGTTTAAGATGTTACTTGCAGCTACGGGAGGTGAGAATGCGGAAACTGTTATAGAATTCTGGAAGAGATTTAACATCAGAATGGCCATCGATATCATCGTTGAAGCCTGGAATGACGTCACCAAAGAGTGCTTGCATCGGGTGTGGAAGAAAATGCTCCCGGACTTGATTCATGACTTTAAAGGATTTGAACCTTCGGATCAGTTGAAAAAAATCAAAGCAAGCTGTGTTGATCTGGCAAAACAAGTTGGATTTGAGGGGGTCAAGAAAGAGGACGTGGACGAGCTTCTAGAGTCTCCCCCTGATCACCTAACCACCGAAGACATGCAACAACTCGCTGCCGAAGGGCAGGTGGAGGCAGAAGATGATGAAGATGACGACGGCCAGAAAGCTGCGCCGAGGCAGCTTGACACGTCACAGTTATCAGATGTTTTAGGTGTTATTGAAAAACAGTTGCAGTGGCTTGAAGATAACGACTATAATGCTGAACGCAGCAGAATAGTGGCTAGGGGCATCCGGACCAATTTGGAACCATACCGGCGGCTTCAGTATGAAAGGAGGAGGCTAGCGAAGCAGCAGAAATTGTATGTATATTTTAAGCCAGTACAGAGGA